AACCGGAGAGTGATGTCTTCTCGGCGCATAATGCAGGCCTTTCTCATCCCGGAATGCGCGATGCATCTTGAATGATACCTAGGTATAGTGAAAAAAAGAAAGAAGACGACTCCCAAGAGGGGAGAATGCGAGGCAAAGCTGACATGCTGGAGGAGCGCCATTGTCCAAGATAATACATGAGCTGACACTTTTGTGGCGTAGTTGGCGGCTGGATGCCTGGTTCGTATTTCCTTTGTTCCCTCTTGGAGCGCTTGGGTATAACTCGCATATTGCGGCACAGGTTCCACCCCTGACTCGCTAAACACAGGGGAAAACGCCACGATTTTGCTAATTCGACCAATTGAATAAATCGCAAGATGGCGCGGTGGGTAAGGCGAGTCGCAACGTTGCTAAAATCATCTTCGTGTTTGGTATGTGGAGATGTGGTGTCGGTCGTTGCGAACCTGATCGACGAACTACTCATGGTCTTTGCGCGCACAGCGAAACATGTTTGACGGGCTCGCGCACGAAGGACCCCAGGGATTCAGGGAGATCATCCGGCGGCTCGACATGCAATGACGGCTGCAGCATACTGCGATCCTGCACCAACTGGGTGTGATGCAGTATCCTCGAAAGGGGGTAATGCGATGTGCACAATTGACTGTACGGCCGCAACCCACCCACATCTCCTCGCATCGACTAGATAGAACGCTGTGTTGATATATGAATGCCCTTTTACCGAATGTAGAGAGAAAAGACGAGATTGATCTTACTAGCAGGTGTGGCGTAAACAGCTAGTATTAGGGCTGAGTGACAGGTGGTACGGGCGGCCTAGCAATGACTAGCAGATGAAGCTACTTCATCACACCAAACGGAACTTTGCCGAAGCGAAGATTGGGTTTCGTACTAATGGTTATGATCCGAGCGATATGCGAGTGAGATGTGTATGCATACGGCAGTTGCGAAAGGGAGTGAACCTGGGGTTCAAGCTGTCTCCTCGCCATCTACTAACGGGATAGAGAAATTGAGTATCCAATGGCTGATAGATTGTACACGCAAACAAGGCCAGATATTGACGGCGAGTTTGCACCAAGTTTTGCTCAAACAGAGGGTATATATTTACAAAAGTCCCGTTTATACCATTTGGCCTCCAAATACCACCCTTGTGGTCTTGCTATTAGTGATCGCATATATGCTACTCATGACATCGTTAGACAAGTATCCCATGCCGTGTAGAGATACGGAAAATCCAAACGCCTGCCTTTTGTGTATAGAAATGTGGTAGAACAAGGTGCCGAGTAATACAATCCTGGAAAGAAGAAGTCCGTGCTGAGGATGCTTAGAAGAAATGCTGTCCGCCGTACCCGTTCATTGCGGTAAGTGGGGGCTGAAGTAATGTGTGCGGTTGCTGCTGCTGAACAATGTTTGCAGGCACGTAGTGCGTCTGGTAAGGATGTTGTGGCATGCTGAAGTCTGCTACGAGCAGAGGGTTACCAAAGCCCGTCGGCCGCCGCTGTACTGGGGCAGGTGCAACCGAGACTTGCGGCATCTGCTGCTGAACGACGACCTGAGGCTGTTGCTGGTACACAACACTGCCTTCCTGCATGTGGCCATTCATCTGCTGCTGCTGTTGTGGGGGTGGCGGAGGTGGAGGTTGTTGCTGTGGCTTCTGGTCCTGGGTTTGCGGCGTATCCCAGCCCCACTTCTGCTTCAGCTCTGTATTGACGAAGCCTACACGCCAACCCGTCTCTTGCCTGATCTTATCGAATATCTGGAGGACCTCTTCCTGCTCGCGTCGGTCTGTGAGCGGTTCAGCTGCGATGGCGAGGGAACGTAGCGCTACGCTGGCAACCCCGCGGTCTTTGACGTGTGCACTGATGCCGCAGATGAACTTGGAGTTTTGCTCGAGCATGGCCCACATGTCGGGTTCGCTAGGGCCTTGTAGCGGGTTGATCTGCGCGAGCAAGACAAGGGATGTGTGGTAGAAGAGCCGCGCTATTATCGATGCTCTCTTGATTAGCCAGACTTCAGGGAACGCTGAACCGGATATTGTTTGTCCGGGGTACAGATAGGCCATTGGGTGCATGGTGCGTGGTATGTTCTCGTTCCATCTGTCAGTCATGTCTTTGAGCCGAAGCCATTCGTTGTGCCGTTCCTGCAAGGTCTGCCTGGCGACTTCCTGGTTGCGCGGTATCGATGCACGGAAGTTGCATATTCTTGCAACGACATAGAGGATACGATGGGTCCAGACTTCTTCCTTGCCTGACTCAGTCTCTGGTGTGAAGTCCATCTCGATGCCCCACTCGTCGGGGTCCCAAGCGACCTGCCAGTTGAAGTGCAGACAACTCAGGATCTCCATGCCGACGTTCAGCCAGAAACAGGCGGCTCCGATGCCTGTTGACCTAGCGTTCCAGCGGCACTCTTTGATCAGAGCACGAGCTCCCGCGATATGGTTCATCCGTTGTAGCGCACGCTCTCCCATGATTTCGTATACGTTGAGTATTACCGCAGTGGTAGCGCATAGAATGGTATCGCGGTCGGGGTCCTGCAGAGAGTGCAGAAGGTCGCGTGTGGCTACATCATAATAGTGGAGTGCTTTCTCCTCGCTGTACTTGGGATTAACAAGGGCAAGATGTCGTGCACCACATGCGAGGAAGGCGTGTAACAGCATAGGCTCGTTGAGCGCATGGAAGGGTAGCAGACGCGAGAAGTGCTTGTGTGCGTCCATGCTGTCCATCCAAATGCCGATTTCCTCGACGAAAACCTGCATGTATAATACCTCCTCTTGGCTTTTCAGGTAGTCGCGCGTGGGGAGGGGTCCGGGACTGGCCGAATGCTCCATCGTGTACGGGGACGGTGTTGGGCCGTTTGAGAAACTCGATACTATAGAGTCAGCACAGTCAGCTGGAATGGACTGTTGACTTACTTGAACGCCCGTGTTGGTGCTGGGTCCGCTGTTGGTCGAAGTTGTAGGTGAGTTGCGCTTGCTGGTACGACTCCTGTGCAATACCCTGGATGGGAGGAATGTGCTGGCGCGACGAAGCTGGCGGTCCCATGCCAAAGCCGTTGCTGCCCATGTGAACATGTGCGTCCATGTCCTCTACTGGATACATTTCTCGCCCGCCCACATATTCCGAGGCAATAGTCCGTGACTCGTCCATGAATGCGATCTGATAATCGATGCCTTGGGGGATCAGGTATGCATTTCTCTCGCACGTGGTGTCGAGGAAGTTGAGCTTCTTGCCCCAATTGCACTCGCGCTGGGACTTGAGGCAGTTGTTGCAGGTCGGTTTGGTCTCATCGCACTTGAGATGGCGCTCTCTGCATGTCAGGCAGCCGGTACGAGTCCTCTTAGGCTTGTCGTCGGGTGTGGCATCGCTGGCTCTCTTTCTCGAGGGCAATGGCTTGCTCGTGGGCGAGTCATTGTTGGAGGGTGGTGTCGCGGTGTTGGCCATGCTGACGCTCGCTCGGGGACAGGCGTTGCGCCGTCGCTCGCCGTGGCAGGGCGATCACGACCCCGTAACAGGGCGCGCAGTGGGCCAAGTCTGTCGATCCCTCCACTTCGATTTCGTGGTCAATCGTCGAGTAGTCGCGGTGGAAGATGTGGGGTTGGTCGAGGACCGCCGTAATCTGACAGCTCGGTTGCGACGGGACGCGACGCAGCAACGTAGATTCGCAAGATTCGCAGTAGGGCGGCTGCAATGGCAGTGTTTGAATGACAGTGGAAAGAAACACAAAGGCGTGGGTCCGTCGTCGTGGTGCGAATGCAAAAGTGTCGGAGAGGGCGCAGGGATAGGAGGTCTTGGTGAATTGGCCGTCGAGAGGGCGTGTGCAGGCGTTCGGTCGCGGATGATATGCAGGAACACGCGCAGTCTAGGTGGAGGGGTGGGCGAGGAAAGTCATGGGAGTCGAGGGTGCTTTTGGCGGGACAGAAGCAAACAAGTAGCAGCAGCGAGTCGTGAGGAAAGGCGGAATATTGGATTATACCTGAGCGGGCTGGCGTACATGCAGGCGATGACGAACGATAGGAGATGGTGGACGTCCTGGCAGGGAGCGTCGCAAGGGCAGGTGCACGCGAGGGCTGGGGACCGAGGCGCCTGTAACGTTGACAGCTGCACTCTGAAACAAGACGCTGTCCGGGTTTTCGGTCGTCAGCGTCTGGACAGGTGGACGAGTATCACGACGATCCCGCGATAAAAGACGGCAGAGCTGGACAGAATGCGCCTTCGGGGAGACGTCTGGGCCTTGGTGTGCGCCAGTCCGGGGTGCGACGCCATGATGTGCGCGCCCTCCCGGTAATGATGCGCGCGCCGGCTTGGATGCGTCGTGACATTCGGCGACGTAGCATGGAAACTCTTCTTCCCGTCCCGCGGACCCTCGATTGCTGTGCATCATTGCTGTAGCGAGCCCTATTGCCCAGTGCACTAGCTTTCTCGTGGCAGTTCGTGCGAAGAGCTACCATCGTGGCGCAGGCAGCATCTTGGCACGACCCCAGCGCTGCTGAAGAGATACACACCTGGGCACATTTCGCACCTCTGTAGATGATGCCCAACCGGCTTGTGCAGGTGCGTTGCGCCCGAGCAGCTTCGACGCTCCATGGCATGCTGACTGGCTGCACTTCCACTCGTCTAATCTTGTAGAGTTTTGCGAACAAGCTCAAGACCAGAATAGACCCCTGTCACTCTCGGCAATCTTTGCAGTGTCACAGCACCTGCCACCCTGGAACACCTGCCGGCGCCTCCACACGCACTCCTAAGCTGAGAGGAAACGAATCCTCCTTTCTCCATACCAGTCAACATGGCTGTTTCGTACTTCTGCTGCAGCAATCGATTAAAGCTCAGCTCCTTAGCACCAAGCATCGTCTGAGAAGGGAACGCCCAGCAGGCAGCCGTTTCAAGCGCGCATGCACCTGTCGTTCGCGTTGTATACCCGACAATCAACCGCTCATCACTGCCCCACCATCGCTTCTCGACGATCGTCTCTCGTGCCGGCCTGCCCGAAACTAACACCTCAGCTTGCCCATGGCCCTGGAGCGCCAAACCGCCACGCTCCCACCAGCACAGCCCACTGCCATTCTCCGCGGCCATGCCTCGCACATCCACGCAACTTTGTTTGTTCGCCAGAACAGTCGTTTGTTGACGGGCGACGCAGATGGCTGGGTCGTTCTCTGGAATGTTCAGACGAAGCGACCAGCTGCTGTCTGGCCAGCTCACGATGGCCCCATCCTAGGCTTCGCCCAATGGGGAGATGCAAAGATCATAACGTGCGTGTCACTGTAGCAAACCACCAATCACCCTAAGACTAGCCCACCTCTGCCTGACGAGCTCTACTAACATCAGATCGCGGATACAGACATGGACGGGACAACAGAATAAGAGTCTGGCGACTTGCACTCGAAGACGAGACAGAGAAGCTCTCATCAACATTACCTGAAGATGGGAACCGAGAACACACGCCCAAACCGTGGCTTCTTCATTCGCTTCCTGTCAACACTCTCAACTTCTGCTCTTTCTCCATGGCTTATCAGCATCCTCCAGCCTCCATCGCAGAGGATGATTCCATCTTTGTGGCAGTCCCGTCAACGGACGACAAGATCATCGACGTGTATAGCTTCCCTGGTGAGCTACTGAAGGTCAGAATTCCGCAGATTCGAACAGTCGAAACAGGCATGGTCATGGCCGTGAAATTTGTTCGTAATAGAGCCACACAGCGACTTCTTCTCGTCGCAGGGTATGAAGGCGGAGTCACTGCAGCCTTTAAGCTGGCTGAAGAACACCCCGACACGAGCGTAGAGACTGCCCAGATTGTGTACCTCAGTCAACCCCATTCTCAGCCAATTCTGTCGTTGGACGCTTCGCCAGAGGGCGACTTTTATTACACATCCTCGGCAGATGCTATGATAGCCAAGCATCAGATACCGGAGTTGCCATCCATTCCGGGTAAAGAAGACAGTGACCCACCTGTACCGTCTTCAGATCTATTCACAAAGCAAACTGTTGATCAGGCTAGCTCCAAGACAGCGACACCCAGCGGTCTATCTTCACTGCTTTCGTCGGCCGCACCGCTACCGAAGTTCAAGCCTGCTCCGCCAGTCCAGAAAGTGGTCAGCTTACAAGCCCCGTACAAAACAACAGACACCAAACACGCAGGTCAACAGTCGCTCCGTGTCCGCTCGGATGGCAGGCTTCTGATTACCGGTGGTTGGGACTCACGGATCCGCATATACAGCACCAAGACGCTCAAGGAAGTTGCCGTGCTAAAGTGGCACAAGGAAGGAGTCTACTCCACTGCATTCGGTGAGATTCTTACACAAGATGAGATAGGTCGCGGAGATGGGGCTACCAATAAGCGGCAAAGAGACCGTGAGGAGCAGTCGAAGCTTAAACACTGGGTCGCGGCAGGAGCTAAAGACGGGAAAGTCAGTTTGTGGGAAGTGTTTTGAGGTCTGTCCGGCTTCTTGTGGGGTTTGGAGTACGCCGACGGTCCCTTGATGACGCATTTATACAGATAGATGTATTGTAGTATCAAGTGGCACGTTAATAGCAATCTACCAAGCAATTACAAGAGTCGGTGGTGCTGATGTATAGCGAATCGGAGGTGATGGTGCGCCGGCGTGGCTTCCCCACAAGAAGCCGAGGCATAGCGACCGGGGAAGTGGGCCTGCGATGTCACCGTCCATCGTCGCGACGCTCCATGCCTGCTTCACCATGTCGTAGTAACAGTGCCAACGTGGACTGACACGAAATCAAAACACCCGAAAAACTCCATCTCCCGAGATCGATTCCTAAACGCGTCCTTCGCATGCGATACGCGCTTTCCGCCGCACCCTTTCCCTAAGGAGACGCTCCTTGCATATCCCACATCCGCATTCCAATCAGCATGGCCTCCTCAGATGAGGACCGGAAGTCCTCCACCGCGCGCCCCTCTAGCCCCGAACAAGCTCCCGACCTTAGCATCACGGCCGACGACAATGTCTACCTGCACGCAGCCGGCTACAACGAATCGCCCGACCGCGGCCTCATACACAGCTTCGCGCGCTTTCGATCCTCGCCGCTCGATTTCATTCGCGAAGTCTCGCTACATTTCTCAGGGACAGGATGGAGGTCTTTTGACGATCACATTGGGCAGCCAGAGTTCTACCCGGGCTTCAGCGAGGATATGAAGGCGAGGGTGTTGAGCAACCCCATGCTCGTCGCCAAAGTGCGAGAGTTGGCGGACAAAAGGGTGGAAGTCGAGGCGAAAGAAGGGCTGCTGGGTGAAGATGCGCTGCATGGGGTTGGTGTCGGCGAGAAAGATAAAAAGGCAAAGAGGAGGGTGCAGATTGAGGAATCGCTTATGCAAGTCAGCGAGGGCTGGACGGATTCCATGATCTGCAAGATGGAAAGCAAAGGCTTCATAAGAGGCGCATACTATTTCGCTACACAACTCTTGACAAGAGCATACCACCAGGGCGTCCACGTCTCGAGCGAGGAAGTGCTACGCCTGCGCGCTGTCGCTGAGAAGGCAGCGAAAGACAAGCACTCCATCATCTTCCTTCCATGTCACCGCTCGCACGTAGACTACGTCTCGCTACAAATCATCTGCTACCGGCTCGGGCTTGCTTTGCCCACAGTCGTGGCTGGAGATAACCTCAACTTCCCAGTCGTCGGGTCCTTCCTACAACATGCCGGCGCTATGTGGATACGTAGGAGCTTCGGGGACGATCAGCTGTACATTACACTTGTACAATCCTACATTGATACCCTGCTGCAATGTGGATACAATCTGGAGTGCTTCGTAGAAGGAGGGAGGAGTCGTACCGGCAAGCTTCTGCCGCCCAAGTTCGGAATACTGAGTTACATGCTCGACAGTATCGCGAGCGGCAGGGTGGAGGACGCAATCATTTGCCCGGTATCGACGCAGTACGATAAGGTCATCGAGGTTGAGTGAGTCTTTACATCAGCTTCATACCAGGGAGAATACTAACACACCACAGCTCATACATCAGCGAACTCCTTGGTCAACCCAAACCCAAAGAAAACCTCATGGACTTCCTGTCCGCTTCCAGCGTCCTATCCCTTAAACTCGGCCGCGTAGACGTCCGTTTCCACGAGCCGTGGTCACTCAAATCCTTCATCACTCAGCAACGCGAACGCTTCTCAAAACTTCCCCAGCAACTCGATACCAAAGAAGACCGACTCCGCCTCCTCCGTACACTGGGCTACAAAGTTTTGTCAGAGATCAACGACGTCTCAGTCGTGATGCCCACCGCTCTCGTTGGTACCGTCTTGCTAACATTAAGAGGCCGTGGTGTAGGCAAATCAGAACTCATCCGCCGAGTCGAATGGCTCAGCGACCGGGTGCGGGCACAAGGTGGCCGTGTAGCACATTTTGGCAATCTCCCCACTAGCGTTGTCGTCGACCGCGCTTTAGAAGTTCTAGGACCCGGACTTGTTGGTCTAGTTCCCGGATTACCAGAAGACACATTCTACGCCGTGGATAGGTTCCAACTCTCCTTCTACAGAAACATGACCATTCATCTCTTCATCCTACAAAGTCTGGTCAGCGCAGCACTATACACACATGTAAAGCAGGGTGGTGGCCCGGAGTATCAACGCATGTCTTACGGCGATCTACGTGCGCAGGTGCACTTCCTCTCACAACTCTTCCGGGGAGAGTTCATCTTCCCCACGGAAGGTCTAGATACCAACCTCGCCAAAACACTCGAGGGACTGGAAAAAGACGGTGTCATCACCATGTCACGGTCGAAAACCGAGTTGGGCGAAGAAACGGTGGACTTCATCGAATTATCACCTGCTGAACGGACCCAAGGACGCGAAAACTATGACTTCTACTGTTTCCTCATCTGGCCGTTCATCGAAGCTGCATGGCTCGGTGCTATCAGTCTGATGATGCTCACACCTCCCCTGTCATCCCCCAATGCTACATCTCCATCTCCATCCTCATGGCTCGACCTCAAGAAAGTCCAAGACCGCGCACAAGTTCTCGGCAAGACTCTCTACCACCAGGGCGACCTTTCCTACTTTGAGGCTGTCAATAAGGAAACACTGAAGAACGCATACACGCGCTTCCAGGAAGAAGGCATGATTCTTGTTACGAAGTCCAAAGACAAGACGCCCGCTACTATCAGATTAGCAGAGGAGTGGACTCCGCAAAGAGGGTCGAACGGTGGCATCATTGCCGATGGCCCATTATGGCGCTTCGCTGAGCGGATTAGCGCTTCGCGGAGAGAAGGCAAGAATCGGCGCGATGGAGCGACAGTTCAGACGAGAGTTTTGGCACTAGCGGATCTAGTTGGTGAGAAGCTTTGGGAGGATGCAGTGTTTGATAGAAAGGAGTTGGATGGTGATGAGGTGGGTGCTGTCGAAGGGAAGGCAAAGAGCATGCGGAAGAGAGGGAACATGGCGCGGCTTTAGTTTGCTTGTTGAATCATTCGTCATGTACTTTAGCTTTGGGAGATATACCATTTGATTGTTCGTCTCATTTCATGGGTATAAAAGCTCCGCTTCTGCTCATGATGTTCTTCTCGATCAGGGAGACGAAGCATGGACCGTGATGTAAGTCGCGAGGTTCTATACGTCCAACACATCGCCAACAGTGGTTGTATGCGAATACAAGAACATATACTCCTGTTGTACAACAGTAAATGGACGGCCGGATACCTACGCATCACTCGTGGTGTTTAGTCGTTCCTACGAAACAGCCATGAGTTCTCGTGAAGACCTTACATATGCCTCACTTCCCTATCTTGAGTGTATGTGGCGCTCAAAAGTCGGTAAGACACCCGTCTTACTCCAAGGGGTGACGCATAGTTATTCTCTCAACCCAAGGTGATATTGACGCTAGGTAACACCGGGGCCTCGAGAATGAGGTTTTGTGACTGGGCTTCGTATAAAGCTGCCTCATATATCCTCTCTCAGTACCATATCTCCTCCCTTCTTTCGTCAACAGCACCCCCGCTTGCTGAAACGTACAGTCAACCACACCAGTAAGCTGATTCTGTTCTTCCCTTTGTTCGACAAGATACTGATAGTAATCGCAGCTACACGGACGATATGCCTAGCTGTCCACGTTACACCAAAGAGCAGTTGCTCGACATGCTCCAAAAGCAGATCCCCAATGCCATAGTAAAACTTCCGAGACCAGATGCCTTCACATTCCGGTCGTTGCCGGACGGAAAGTCACAGCTCTGCATTGGCACCTACGTCGAAGGACTGAGTGACCCCACCACAGATGAGTTTTGGGTTAGCTGTGGCGGCACAGCGAAGCCCTGGTTGGCCTTTGACATCGGTACAAAAGACCAAGTTTTCCGTGGTGATGCATTCTTCAAGAAGATGACCAAGAGCGGACAAGTCTTTTTGTTCGGTGATGGGCTCAAGGCTATAGTCGCCTTTGTCTTTGTCTACTGCGACAAGATGGAAGAATTCTGCGACTTTGAATTTGGCAAAGGCTTCAACATCCTGGTCGAAAAACTCAGGTACATGTTCCCTGAAGTCGAGGAGAGCGCTCTGTCTGGAAACGGCACGGAAGACGCCGGTAGTGTCTCTGCTAAAATCTCAGACGCGGACGCAGACGTGGTCAAGACTCCCGATGACGACCAATCTGCAGAGGAGAAGCCCGAGGAACAACTTGTGAAACCGTTGGACGATGTCCTCCCTAAGAAGCCCAAGAAGCGAGCGCTCAGCGTCGACACCGACACCGACGAGCACTCGGTAGAGAGGAAGCTCCGCGTTGAGTAGGCACTCGACTTTGCGCTATGCTATTGTAAGTTACTCAATCTTGTTATGGACTGCATACAAACACTAATCGTTCTCCCAGGCTGCCGAGAGCTGGGAGTTGGGAAAAGTGATCGATGGCTAAGAAGCTTCCCTACCATACTAAAAGTTGGTGAAGCGAACTGAGATGGGTCCTGTGGCTGGAAGAAGATATGACTATTGCAGAGGTCTCATGGAAGGAGCCTTACTAATGATTCATCATTCTCGATTAGGGTAGCTCTGAATTCCATGGCTTCGAAAGATGCCACTTACATTCAAACCATCTTCTCCCTCTCTTCAGTTCTTTCGTGCTTTCACCGTATACACGGTAACAACCGAACACTCTGGAGTCTCTATTGATGCCAGTCTTCTGATTTGTTTGTTATCATTGCAGTGTAGTCTGCAAACCCGTTCGACTATTTCTTGTCTGAGGGAAGACAGCTATCATGGTTGGTTGGTAAGAACTGCCTAAATTACGATGCGCGTTGAGCTTGGTCTAGACAGAGCACGACGACTGCAGTCAGGGAATGCAGAGGAATGATCCAGACTGAATAGAGTCTCTCCAAGAAATCTCAACACATTTCGAATCCCCAGGGCTGTTGCTTCGTTCCCGTACTCCTGTGTCGTGACCTTGTAAAGTCTCCATGTAGTGACTGCGACTCAATCACGGTCGCTTGGGGAAGATACTCGATAGTCGCAATTGCATGTCGCGCTTGATACTTAGCTTTCCGGATATGTAGATAATCGCTATACCGTCTCCAGTTCGCGGCTTCCAGAGACGCGACGAGTGACATCACGCAAGCACGCGTTCAGCGCTACGCCGAAAACGGAAAGATGCCTGCTTAGCGCGTCACGCTTTCAGCGGGATGATGCGCCCCGCCATCTCAATTCCACGCAAGCAGGATAGTGCAGAACGCCCGCTCGGCAACCATGATGGACTCCGAGGATGTGCTGGATCTATACGACATTGCTGTCTTACTCAACTATGAACGGAACACTACGGAACCTCGGCTTCGACACACGAAATTGAGAGAAGTCGCTTTCCCGGGTACACAACCGAAGACGGTCGCACTCAGCAGTCCAATCGACCAAGGCTGGAACAACAACGCGTCGACTTGGATCGTATTGGATCAGCAGCAGACCAACGATCCCGATGCCCCAGACTTGCCCACGGAATTCCTACCACCGAACAAACGCAAGGATAGCGCACTCTCCAACGAGGAACTGGAGACGTTGTTCCACCAAGCACGCAACCACGATGGCTGCTACCAGGCGATCAGTCTGCTTCAAATCTTCTTTGCATTGTTTTCTGAAGATGCAAAGTTGAGAGTAAGACATGCGCCCAATGGTAAGCAGCCAGGCATGTCTTATACGACAACAGTCAGTAGACGTGTCATTGTCGAAGAGTCCTTCCGTGACCCAAAGTTCACCACTGCTATCTGCGTACTCCCGGAGGGCGCAATGTATGTTAGTGGGCATCAGCCACAACTTCTGCATGCGGTCGTAGGTTTCTCTCCGCTCGATAGCGACACGGTTCAATCCTTCTTCGATCTCTCGTCCATGCAGTTCGGCGATATAGGACGCGGACCTGGGCCGAAGGGAAAGCAGCTGTTCGCTCTGGATACCCCCGAGGAGTTTGCCCTGCGTTTCAGCATGTTGGCTAAGGGTACAGATCCTAGCAAGAGCGACCGCACTCTAGCGATCAGTGGTACACCTGTAGACGATTGGCTTTGGGAAGTGGCGATGAGGACGAAAAAGAGGTGGATGAATAGAGCGACGGAGAAATGGTGTGGTCACTGTGGAGCACCAGGTGCCAAATCCAAGTGTGCTGGATGCGGCGAGGCGTACTATTGCGGCAAGGACCATCAAAAGTTAGCTTGGGGATATCATAAAGGATATTGCGGGAAGCCTTGATGAAAGTTCTGACGAACGCAGAACCTGCAAATTAACGGACATTTCGTAGAACGTCTTAAACTTGGTGGGTCGTATAACAGGGGGGGTATAATTCATCAACACTAGAGTTGTACCTAGAGTTGTACTGCACTTCAAATGTACATCCATCTCTCCATCCACTGTACGGCACGCAGTATCAGACTGTGCAAGACAGCACAAAGACATGAACTGCTTTCCAGGACGATGGCCATATCATCCACGACCGAATGCAACACTACTGTACTCACATCCTCCCACTCGGCAACTCATTAATGGTGGCTGGAACTGGCGGCGACATAGCTGGGGAGTACTGCGGTACAGGGCTCACTGGCCCGTCCGAATAGTGCGGGTTCGCCTGCACAGGATTCACAGCACCTGATATTTTCTCCGGCATCGCATAGCCACCCTGCTGCGTAGCATACGCAGACTGAGCATTGGGGTCATAGAAATGTTGCGCGGGTTGCTGTGCGTTCGGATCGTACTGACCGTAGTGCTGTTGGTGTTGAGGCGGTGGAGACGGCATCTGTTGCATGTGTTGCTGAGGGACGGGCTTCTGCTCGTGGTAGTACTGGACACCGGCTGGTGGAGCTTGAGGTGCGGTGGGTGGCTGCTGCATGTTGTTGTTGACGGTGGTATTGTTCTGTTGCTTCTTCTTGCGGCGAAGAAGGAAGAAGACTCCGAGAACTACAGCGGCCAGAAGAGCGACGCCGCCGATTACTCCACCGGCGATTGCGCCTACTGGAGTTGACTTCTTGGAATTGTTGGAATTGTTGGATTCGTTGGAGTTGTTGGAGTCGTTGGAATCTTCGTTACCGGAGGAAGGTGTAAGGTCAAGTGGTGCATCTGAGGGACGACCGGAAGCGGTACGTGAGAGTGGAGTGAAGGACAGAGAGATTGGGGTATTCGAGGATGAGCCAGTGTTAGGGGAGGTTGATGAATCTTGGAAGTGTGTTGTCAGTCAATGCTTCATCAAGGTTAGACAGATTGCATACCTTGGTCTGGGGTGGTTACTAAGATCCTTCCTCCCGTTTCCGTCTTAGCATCGCACCAGTAGTTGGTCAATGGTGAAGGGTCATTGATATCTGTTGCCAGCTCCCAGTAGCTGCAAGTTAAGTTTGAGCCTCCACTGCGATGCCATGTTAGTATACAATATCCAGGCGACCAGGAGCCAGAACGCACCAGAAGACTGATGTAGTCGGATACACAACGTAATCGCTCTCACAAGAAAAGAACTCGCAAAGAGATTCTGGCGCACAGATCTTGTAAAGGCTACCTGATGTTGCGATGACATGACCCTCGTTATTTGCGGTGATGGTGTCATCTAAGACTTCTTAGCAACAATCGAGCAGCCATGTAGGTAATCAATCTTACACAGTGTACTCGAGCCATACATGCCCGTGGAAATATATCCAAGGGTAGTAACATCCCTAACAGCCAGTGCTACAGCTGTTGCAGCAGGGGCGGGCGTGACAGCAGGCGTCGGTGCCCGTATCATAGCAGTGCTCCCATACTTTGCGGAAAAGAGAACGACCAGCAACGAAGAAAGCCTGGTATATGCCATGACGTTTCAGACCCGAGAAATTACAAAACGAGGAACAGAAAGCACCCTTAAGGAAAGAGCAGGGCCCTATAAGCTAAGTACTCATACCTAGGTACGTTGAGCTACGTACAATGAGAAAGACATTGCGCCGTAAGGCGTGCAGCGACCCGCTGGGGCTTGCCGGCTGCGGCCACACATACGAGGAGAGCGTATTGAAGGCTGATCAGCTGAGAATTTGTGCATTTGGGTTCCATGAAAGCGTTCGGTTGGACGTGCTTGTTGTACATGCAGGATTGCTGCAATACTTGCACCACACCTACGCTTTTCCTGCTCATTCTTTCCGTTACTGCATCATCTCAAGCACAGTTGTTCAGTATTTCCACAAGGTGTTCGTCTTGACGCTAGACGCAATGGTGACCGCTGCAGGGACAACGGATGTGTAGCTAGCATGGGGTAGCGAGCTGAAGAAGAAAGAAACAATCCGCCTCGCTTGTGTAGCGCCGCGATAGGCTGTAAACAAGCCGCTTGCAGCCATCACCACCGTGCGCTTTACCTCTTTAATATGAACACCAGGCACGTCGGATGTCTTGGTCGCCAGATAATCTCACCGGAAAGCCATGTGTTGTGCGACGCGGCAGAGTCGCATGTAGATCCCCATCGTGGCCGTGAACTGCCGAGGTAGGGTTTGAGGCGCAATAATTAACAAGCCTTCTCATGTCCCAAATGACAGCTGCAAGTGATGAGCTTGTGCACGATCGTATCGTTGGGAGTCTTTTGGTGTTTGGTGCAAATCGAGGCCTGCAAGCTTTGGTTGCCTACATAGCTTTGAGAACAGGTGGTAGTCGGTCCGAAAGCCCTACACGATGGTCACATTTGGCCCCCAAAAGCTTTAATGAGTCAGTGCCGCGGCAAGCAGATTTCGGTTGGGGGTCCTTAGGGTGGCTTGGAACAGAGTGGGGATAATAGAGGAGTATCTTGCACGTGGGCTTGGAGCCTTCATTACGCTGTCGTTATCTTTTCAGTCGGGTCTATCTCCTCTTGACGCCAGGACATCTAATGTCCATGGCCATCGTCACCACCTCCACCTTGCTCCTCTGGATCCAGCTTGATCAGGGTATCGATACGCATAATCGCAACACACGCCTCCACTGCTGACTTCAATTGCTTGACTTTGCTCATGCTGGGTTCCAGTACACCGGCCTTTAGGCAGTCGTGCACTTTACCGTTTGACAGGTCCAGACCGTAGTTCTTGTAGTTCTTCGACTTGGCCAGCTGCTTTGCGTCTTGCGACGAAGGGTCTGAAGGGTTCACTGTCCGCTGTGAAAGAGCGTGCCGTGATCGGAGGTTGGCGACGAGCTCGGTAGCATCCTTGGCCGCGTTGATGGCAAGTGTCTTAGGAATAGCAAGCAGAGACTGCGCAAAAGCAGCAATGGCCAACTGTTCCCGAGAGCCCTAGATTTATCGTTAGTCACGTTGTAGACATGCAAGGATTGGAGTGACTTACCACTGACGTTGCCCACTCTTCCAAGTAGATGTGCAACGCAGTTTCAACGGCACCTCCACCAGGGACGATGCGGCCGCTCTCGAGGGTTCGCTTCACGGCTGATAATGAGTCGTGTACTGATCGCTCCATCTCGTCCAGAGCGTAGTCGTTCGCACCTCGCAGGATGATGGATGCGGATGAGAAAGCCTTGGTGCCCTTGACCAGAATGCACTCGTCATCGGAAATGCGCTCTTGCGAAACCTCCTCAGCATGGCCAAGGTTTGCTGCCTCAAACTTCTCGTCACCGTTCAGATCAGAAAGGGTGCTGACCAGGGTTGCACCGGTCGCCTTCGCTATCCTTCGCAGATCCTCCTTCTTACACCTTCGCACAGCCATGGCACCCTTCTCAACGAAGTGCTTGAGGCAGAGGTCGTCGATACCCTTTGTAGTCATGATGACGTTGGCGCCAGCCTTCAAGATCATCTCAATGCGCTCGGTGACAATGCCAGCTTCGCGCTCTCGGATCTTCTCTAGCTGCTCCGGGTCGTCGATGGTGATGTGAACACCCAACTTCATGCGCTCCTTCTGCAAGTTGATGTCCAAGCAGGCAATCTTGGCGTCGGTGATGCGCGTCTTCATGGCTTGCGAGGCGACCGTGCAGTTGAGAGCGTAGCCCTTGACCAGTATCGACTGAGTCGCGCTTTGACCGTGTGCCTTGAGGATGTTGACAGCCTTTACAGGGTATTTGACCTCGCCCTTGTTGTTTGTCATCTTGACAGCAGTCATGCCGTCTACCACCATGTTGGCGAAGAAGTCGGAGTCGGAGCCGATGATCTTGCTGGACATGGACGTCTTCGCGATGTTGACTAGCGAGTCCCGACCGAGCGCATCGACCTTGGTGCTGATGTTCTCGTTCATGTACTTGACCGCCTCCCTCAGCGCCAGCCTGTAGCCTGTGATGATGGTGGTGGGGTGGATTTTGTTCTTCATGAGCTCGTTCGCTCTCCGCAGCAGCTCGGCCGCTATTATGACGACGGAGGTTGTGCCATCTCCGACTTCCTTGTCTTGTTGTTGGGCCAGGTCGACGAGGATTTTGCCTGCGGGGTGCTCGATATCCAGCAAACTGAGGATGGTAGCGCCGTCGTTGGTTACGGTAACGTCACCGATGTCGTCGACCATCATCTTGTCAAGACCCGAGGGTCCAAAGGACGACTTGACGACATTCGAGATCGCTTGGGTCGCGAGGACGTTTTGGTCGCGAATGTCCTGGCCGCTGATTTTCTGGCCGCCGAGGACTGCACGTGTTAGCTTTTTGCGGCGGTCTTGTTAGCTTCGGCGGCTTACACAGAGTTCCTCCGCTACGTGACTGCTCGAAGATTCCTGCCATTGTGTCGGGTGATAGCTGTTCTGCTTCGTTGTTGCTGCCTCTACGCGGTCCAGAAAATCTCCAGCAATGCCCGCCCGCGTCGGCGACGGCGAATGGTAGCTCCGCCCGTGAATCGCGCTAGTCTGGACCCCTGCGCCGATGACTCGGCCCTCCACACATTTGGCTGTCGACTCACACGAGACTGCAACGAGCCGACTCTGTCTTAGCTTTACGTGACTCTAGAGTGCTCTCGCCTTATATTGTTTGGGTTCCCCACCGTCTCTTTAACTTGCCATAACTCAATTGCACGTAAGTAGTCCCAAGTCGCGTCTTGATACCCCGCCTGCCCCACCAACTCACCCTGTTTACAAATGGGTTTGGCTAGAATATCTATACGACCGCGATTTCACTACCTTTTCATCCATTAGTACTCGTGAAGATATCTCTTGCGAGACGCTGACAGCTTTGTATAGCACCTTCCCAACATGGCTGAAGCCACAGCTGCCGATGGCAAGATGAAGGATCTTTCCATCTCTGAGACCAAGAAGAGTAAAAAGGATGGTAACCCTCAGAAAGCCGCGAAGAAGCCCCAG